TATATATATATATATATATATTCTCTAATCTTATTATTAAATCGAAATTACTATTTTTATGAAAAAATGCTGATTTTCTAAAAGTTAATCTTATGGAGAAAATTATGAAGAAATCTTAGGAATGGAATCTAAAGGACGTTCTAGAAGAAAATTTAAATAAAGAAATAAGGAAATTAAATAGAAAAATAGAGAAATTATATATTTTATAAATACGATTTTTCTTATCCAAATTCAAAATCGTGAATTTCTACTAACAAAATGTACGAATTTCGTGAATGCAAAACAATCGTAAATTAGACGTTGGTTGATGAAGAATAGTTTGAAACATGAAAAAAGATCAATATGCTTAAACAATTTTTCAGGCAACTCAGATGCAAGAAGTGAGACAAGAGGGTCAAACAAGGAGTTATCAATCACCAGAGTCTTATGTGTAAATATCTCTTTCTATCGCAATTCACTCATTGTCAGTGAATCCGAAAATTGATTTTCCAGATAAAATCAATTTCTTTAAAGGTCGACGTCAGCTGCATCGCTGTTAAAAACAGCCAAAATCGATGAAGAAAAAAGCAAATCCATTTCAAAGACTTATCATACGATTAAGGATATGATATCAAGTCGTTTCGGACAGAGTCGTAAGGATGTTGAACCGGAACCGGAAGCGAGCTTGAACAATGTTACAGACGAATTGAGAAAATCAAGCAAGAGCATCGATGAAGAAGAAACGAAGAAAAGGGAAGGGATTTATGGTAAACCACGAGCACAGGAACCTCCTATTAATATGCAACAATATCCAAAAAATGCTTGTGGTTAGTATTCTATACACATATGCATACGTATAAAGTGTCCTATTAATCTATTCACTTGTGATCTTTTTGTTAGATATACAGAATGTAATAAAAAAAATTCACTCAGTATTGTTGATGTTCTGTTGCTTGATTTTAATTTGTACATTTCTGAAAAAATTTTCGTACTATATTGCCACAAATCGACTAGTATCTGGATTACCACAAATCTATCTGTATGCATGTAAAACCATAGACAGTCTTCCAGTTGATCAACTAGAAAATCACCTGTTCTAATGCTCGAAACATGATGTCAATTTTCGATATCAAGTATCATACGCGATGTATGTACATGATTGTTTTTTACATATAATTAAGTATAATTAATTTTGGAATGTAGATCAATGCTCATAAAAAAATAAAAAAAATTAACTACTATTAAATTTTTTTAATTTCGTATCATAAGCATCATAAATTTTTAAATTTAAATATTTTTTTATATATATTTTTTTGAATATAAAAAATACTCTTATAGGTGGCTGAAATAGGTTACTACTTTGGTTAGTAAGTCGAAAACTAACCAACCATTGAATTGGAAATTCGAAATCCTTTACCTGTAGCTAATAGGGTTGTAGCAGACTTCTTTATCACAGTGAAATCATTCGACTATGTTACTTTTTCAATTAATTTTGTAGCGTTCCTTACATTTGAAAGAAATTTTTGAAATAAAATAGCATTTATAATTGACGTTATAAATGTTATTTATCTACGAAACGTAATAGAAATTCTTCTGAATTAAAAATATAAAAAATGTAATTAAAATCGAGTTTGTTCGAAATCATCCATTTACAACGTGATAAATACAGTAACATTTATATAGCGTTTGAACCTGCCTGGTTTAGGTCAGTATGGACATTCGTACAGTTACCTGAGCAATCAGCAGAATGTATCACTTCCTGGACAACTTCAGCCTACATCGCAGATTCAACCCAATTTACCAGGTCAAAGTGCTCAGCTCCACGTAACGCATCACACTCCACCTGCAGGAGTTCAAACAGTTCATCAAACTCAAGTTCCTGGATTTGGCCAATCAGCTACAGGTGGCCAGCAGTTGCAAAGTGTTGCGAGAGAATATGTTGTTCAGGGACCATCTGGATTGCCGAGTCAGCAATTGCATCAAGGACTTCATCAGAATCCTCAGAATCAGGTAACCTTTAATTTCCTCCCGCGTTTTATAAATCGCCTTTTAATGCACTTTCATTTCAAATAACTTTAAATTATTTGTTCGAGACAGTTTCATCGATGAATGTAGACCTAGAAAATAAACGTGAAAGTTACTCCAAGTATTAGTTTAGCAATTTAATTTTCCAGACTAGCAATTTAATTTTATTAAATGAACAATAAATTGATATTTTCTTCTACTACTGAATCAATTACTTACAACATATACATATACATAAATTAGTGGTGAAATTACTGCGACAAATTGTAAGAACAGTAATTATTATCTTTCTATACAGATTCGTTGGAAATGTAAAAATTTCAAGTAAATGAATATTCGTTTCATATGTATTTAACATGGGATTTATTAAGAACATATCTTGTTAATAAAATAATCAGTTTTTATATAATATTATAATATTAATTATAACACATACTATACAGTTATAGTACTATACATTATAGTATTAGAATACATTATTTGAATAAACTGAAAGATATCAATTTATTTTTTGACGGTTTTTCGTTCCATTTTATCAATTTATAGTTTTTACATTTTCAAATGAAATATTTCCAATCGCTCTCATATTTTTATATGTTCTTATGCTTTTTAAACGCACATGTTAAATCGAAATAGCGAATGAATGTTTATTAAATATCGAAATGACTCTATAAAACAATGGAAAAAAAAATATAAGAAAATTTCGTTTCTCTTTACCTTTAATTACACGATGGAGAATTTATTAAAAAAATTGTTTTCAACTTTTCTACGAAATTTAAAAAATTTGTTCTATCATTCTCTATTCGTTCCATTATGTAAAATATAGAATATAGAGTATGATAGTACGTTACGAATATTCAGTCGATACACTTTCTCGTATGTTTCTATCTATAACAGTTTGCTCACAAAGGAATTTTTAGACGTTAAACGTTCCATTTCTCCTTCCATGCAAAAATTCTATTTCAAGCAAGAAGCGATTGAAATGTTTCCGATACACATCAAATAAAATCGTTGATGGCTATTTCCAACGAAAAAATTATTTTTATATGGCAATCTTTCCCTCATATAAATTCAGAAGGGACAATAACATGATACATCCTATTCAAATAACTGATACCAAATACCGTAATGTGTATTCCATATTTATGTCATCTAAATCCAATCCATACACAGCATGATGCACTGAACGTACAACGCTCGATTTATTAACATCCTAACTTCATTCAACACGCCTTTTCATTAAATGATTCTCTTCTTAAGAAAAAATGTTTTTAATCGATTCTTTGATATCTTTCAATGTTAACGGTACGTATTATTTTTGAATAAAATTTCCAATACTCTTATGAATATCATGAGGATAATGAAAACTTTTTCCGTTACTCTTATATCAAGTTCATGCTGTCATTTTCTCAATGAACTTGACGAAAATCACATTCTTTTTTTTCTTTTTCTTATGAAGGATAAATTCTTCATTTTTCTTTGAAAGCATGATTCATTTATGTGAATACCTAAATTATTATAACGGGATATTATTAAAGACAATTCATTCAAGTGTAATTTGCAGAAAAATCGCTGCAAGGGACGTTTTTAATTAATATGTAAAATAATTAATGAGAATGCAAATTGCCCATAGAAAGAGCAGGTAAAAATAAATGTGGAAATGCTTGCGTTTTATTTATTTCCGTGCTTGAAATCCAACTAAATTACTCATTTACAAGTGCTTATATCCTGAAAGAGTTGTTAGCTTCGTTATTCGTTATTACAATTCATCTTTGATACAATTATTTGTTTTCAAGATATTATAATTAAAAATCTCAAGAATTTCTTCGTCATACATATCTAGATGTAAGCATAAATACTTACATAATTATCTATATACTAAAGATGTTATAAGTAGATATTACAAAAATCTTTGTGATTTATTCTTTCCTACGATTCTTGACATTGTTGAATATCGTAATATATACTTTCTGTCACTTTATTAATGCATACTTTATATCATTTTTTAAAATATTTTTTGCCACAATCTTGTTATCAATTTTTTCAGTTTGACGTAGCTTTCATGCTTTGACAATGATAACATACCATTGTCTTGATCCTCCATTCTTTTATTTATATCACGTTTTATTACGGTTTGATCTTCTCTGTATATTGTAATGGAATAAAAGATTTTTTTGAATGATATATTGCAAACAGATGATACTTTTAATAGTATAAAATAGTATAAAATGTTATGCATGACTGGAACGACTTTATACTAAAATACAGGGCCACAGTACGCAGATACAGAAATCTCACGGTCTGGGAATGCAATCCCATCAAATAGGGAATGCGGCGATGCAGCCATCGAATCAAAATTTCCAAAGTGCCCAGCAACTGTTGCATCAAAATCATCAAAGTCCCAGATTCGCACAGCAGCACGCGCAGAACATGCATCAACGGCAACTGATACAACAGATGCATCAGCAGCAACTAGCCGGACAACAGAATAGTCAAACTGGCGGTGCAAGGAACATGCAACAACAAAACTATTTCTCGAACAACGTGTCTTATCAACAGTACCAGCAAGCTCGACAAGCCATGTCAAGATCTCAGATCGATCTACCTAGCACTTCCAGACAGACTCAAGAGCTCAGACTGTCCGGACAGGAAGTGTACTACCATTATGCCCAAGGTAGACCAAGGTACGGTGTACCGCAAGTCTATATGAAGACAGAAAATAACCAAGAAGCAGAATTTCAACGACGAAACTCGACAAAAGGTATCGAGAAAGCCGCGTCTCAGCCGCAACTCTCTTACGAGGACGAAAGATCTGGTTGCGTTAACGAACAATCAAAAAATGCGGTCGATGGGATGAAAACTCTTACGGTGGATCCGTTGGACAAAGAAAGATATGAGATTACAGTGGAAGATCGTGGACAAGGAGAATTCGGGAAAACCGAGTCTCAAAGAAAAGACGAATATCGAGCAGAAACTAGTTTCGCTATTCGCAGAGACGACGCTGTTAGATGTTCTAAAAGAGAACAGGAGCAACTAGCGACCGCTAGTTCTTGTCAAGAGAATCAAGAATCGGAAACATCTTTTATACAAAAGAAAATCGAAGAATTGCAGAAACGACCCGAGGAGAATCATTATAATGTAAAAATGTCGAAGGAAAGCGTGGAAACAGATGTGGGTAAGAGTTCTTCGTCTGGCACAAAAATTGGAAACGGCGAACCTCTGAAAAGAATGGAGAATCAATACGCCAAAGATTCTGCAATGAAATCGGAAACAAGGAAAGACGAGCTTGAACATGGCATCAGCCGATTAAAAATCCAGAATCAGGGATCTGGATCGGATTACGATAAAGCCGGACAGAGTTCTTCCAATGTTGATTCGGGAAGAGGATCTGCTGTTTATTCCAGCGGAAGACGACCTCCGCCCGAAGATCAAACTCATCCCCCAGGTTTGTTTATTCATAGATTTCTTTAAATCGCCACGATAAATATTTCATGGTATTTTTATTTTATTTTGTATTCAAAATATGTATGTAAGAGGTAAAATCTTTAGTTTTCTCAAACTTGTAGAGTATAGATCTGTATGTCGTGTAAGTACTTTGCTCGTAACAATCCACGAATAATCGCGGATTGAAATATAAGTTTACAACCAAAAATATTTTTATAGGTAATTATTAATCTAATTGACGATTAAAAGACCATTTTATTTATTTTATATAATTATGTGTATACAGTACAGGTCAAAAGTTTGGACAGACTTTCATTGCATTTGTATTATATTCTTTATTATTAGTTTATTATTATTATTTTGCCTATACAGCAACAAACATTTCTGTTTATTACCTGTGTATAATATAGTAAAATACTCTACATAATGTACTGTGTATTGAAGTACTATACATTGAAAATATACATATCAGAAAATCTAGGTATATATTTCACATATGCGTATCCAAAGTTTTTGTCAGTAGTATATGTACGCTATTTTTATCATAATTGTTTATTATAATTACATAAATTTACTCGCGCTTACAGTACAAGACTCCGAATGGGTGGACATAGTCGAATCAGAACTGCGAAGCATTTTAGAGCCAAGAGACGTGCCTGCGATGGCGCATTCTACCCTATCTGAAAGTGTATCATCGGTAACGCCACCTCTGCCGCCGCTTTCACCCCATGAAAGTCCTAGAACACCAAGAAATCGATACTCAACGAGGTAACAAACAGATCATCTCATAACCGATGTCACTTCCGGTCACTGCCCCAAAGCTGCTTCCGATTATTCCTATCCTTCACGTAGATCGAAACACCGATATTGATAGATCAACCAACCGATCAAACTGTTGAGTGTAGGCAGACGAGTGCGCTCTTTTTAAACCAATGTCGTATTGAAAAACCAGACTCGAGTAAATTTAGGTTTTAAATCACTTTTTTTGTTGTTTTATGTCATCATGTAAAAAGTTTTATTCGCGATGCTAGCAATGATAAATGAACATGATAAATAATATTCAAAAGAATTAATTGAGTAATCGTTCCAAGTGATAATGTTCAAGTATCTAATGATCGACGATCGTATGTAGTGATATTGTAATAACTATATTGTAATATCTATAATTTTATTACTTTATGTATTAACCAATATTAACTCTACTCCGGCAGTATCCAGTCAGTATTCAGTAGATAATAATAGTTATCAGAGATTACATTATATTAGATTACATTTGAATTAAGGGTTTAAGTTTCTAAGTTTCAGTTAGAAGACCTTAGATTATTTAAAAAAAAAAAAAAAAATAGAAAGTATTTTAAAATTAAATTAATAATATTTAATTTTTGTTATAGATTGTTTGCAAAGTTAACCGCCGATACCAATGGCGGTTAACTAAATATTAACCAAATACTAATATCATATTAATGATAAAGTATCTAATTAAGTTTACTAACCTTTTCTTGTTATCTTTGATAATTAATTATTTTTTTATTATCAGTTTCTTGGCAACCTTATATAGTTGCATATTTGTGGATCTTTTAGTTTGCCGTACGGATCAAAACCTAATTACAGCGATTACAGCAAAACTATTGAAAAAAGAGGAGGGTTTTCGAGTAGTTCGAAGCATCGCGGTACTTCCACCTCAAAAAAAGATGCTGCAAAGAAATTCTCTCATCGTAAGTAATCTTCACTTTTCCCTTTTGCACACTTTTCTCTCATCTTTCCCTAATTTTGCTCTTTAAGGACTACACGAGTATCATTTATTTAGTTTTTGGTGTAGAAGCAGCCGATTTGACTTCGACTACAACTGGACTTGATTTAGACTCCATGTTGGACAGAAGTGATTCCGATTTAAGTACAAACGATGCAAGAACGATTAGGAAGCAATTAGAAGGTCTAGAAAATATGTACAGCGAGGTGAGGCACATATCCTAATAATCTATCCTAAATACCGTAGCTTTCAAAAATTTATACTAAAATTTATATCAAAAGATAGTAATCTTCAAGTACTTATTTTCAATGATATTTAAATACACAATGATATTTAAATAATAACGACACATTCATATAAATTAGACATAAACAGCTTGAATTGTGAATGAGAATCTGTTAGGAAGTTGAATTATCAATGATTCTAGGTACTCAAATTGCTCGGCGGAAGTGTTAAAAAGAGACGGAAGGCCAGAGGTCTTACCAGTTACGGTTCCGTCTCATCGTTGCCAACGTCATCCGTTTCGTCGAGACCTGTCACAAGACACCATGATAAACGTAGATCCCACGCTATCGACGATAGAATGAAGAAAGCCAAAGATATAAAAGTCAGTTCAATCTTCGATTTTTCATAATACTCTATTAACAATTTCTCATCATTCTTTGTTTTTTGTCAAACACTCTATTAGCTAAATTGCATTTTATCCTTTCTATATATCTCTCTTAGAGATCCTTTTCATGTTAATTTTTATATTGTTTTATATTGTTCTATATTGATTTATACTGTATATGAACAGTTATAGTTTTCATAAAGATCTTATGAATATTACGAATAAATGTCGAACAATTCCATTGAAGGCATTGTTACAAGTGAATAGTATTTACTTATATAGGATAGTTATATAATATGGAATTCCTCACATTTGCAGTTTGTTAATATCTACAAAAAAAATCTACAAATTCCTCACATTTGCAGTTTGTTAATATCTACAAAAAAAAAAAAAAAAAGAATACATCAAACATTTTAATTATGAAAACGCGAATAAATACTGATTATCAAAAGATTAACTTTTGATATAATCGCATTAAATAATTGATAACATTTTTACTTTTATATAAATTAAAGCTGGATAATGAGTATACTCTACAGTAATGAGTATATTTTCCTATTTATTATATTTTCACAATAAGGAAAATAAAATCGACTTCTTGCGTTTTCAGAGCATTAATAAACGCTTCCAACGGCTAGAATCTCACGTAGTCACACTTGCCAGATCAGTGGCACACTTAAGTTCGGAAATGAGGACACAACATTTAATGATACAGGTGAGAGACAAACAACAACAAACTCATTTAAAAAATAACTCACAAACAACATTTAAAAGAACACACTTCATTTAGAAAAAGTTTTAAAAATGAAAATCTTAAATAATATATTTAAACGGAAGTTTAAATAATATGTTATCGTATAATAGTACTTGTAAAGTTTATTTTTATATAATTTATCGCGTCTTTATTGTATATAGCAGTATTAATGCATACATGTGTATACATGTATTTTTAAATATTTAATTAGGTTTTAAAAGTAATTTCATTTCATAAGTATTTTTCTATGCATCATTAATAATAAAGAACATTATTCGTTTTATATGGAATACATTTATCAATGCACATTGAATTTGCTAAAGTTAATTTAAAATTCAAGAAGCTTTCACATTAAATTAATAAAAATGGAATAAAAATTAATTCAAATCAACGATAACGAAATGTAATTAACAATTATTTTCAATTTCTTCTTGTTTCTAGAAACATTGAAATATGACTGAAATATTTTAATTTGTCAAGACTTGAATCCTTTCAACAATTTTCAATTCAAAAAATGTTCACTATAATTAATATAACATTCTATACAGGGTGGCCAGCCAGCTTTTTCCGGCCGAATATGGCCAGTACACTTTAAAGTAAGAAAAAAAATATCATATAAAGGTATTTTGTTATCAAAGACTTCTAACAGAAAAGAAAAGAACGATATTCAAAATGAGTTTACCATTATTATGATACAATGTATAAATAAATCAGGAATACAAATAAATCAGATAATCTAATAATAGTCATCTAATAATATTTCAGGAATATTTACATTTAATAATAGAAAATAGCGTCATACATCATCAACTACAATTTCTTGTAATACAAAGTTTAAAGTTTATTTTGTTCTGTTTCAATTCAATTCATGAATAATTAATTTCTCGGATTAGTTCATCACGTGTATTAATACTTATATTCTTTATCTTTCAAAGGTTTTCATTTTAATGTTAAAATTTTAATGAAATGAAATAAAGCAATATTAGAAATTGTTGAAATTGTTACGAATGAGTGAAAAAATATTATGATATACTACTGTTCTGGTATACTACTCTACTACTCTACTATCGTTGGAGATATTCATAAATATTTTTAGTCTATTCATACATTGTATCATAATAATGCATGTTGTTACTGCTTATTTTATGTAACGTTAATTCTTTAATTCCAATTTGTTATATGTTTGTATGACTTTTTTTTTTTATTTTACTCATGAAATATATCGGCAATGTTTGATTGGAAGAAACTAGGTATTCTATATACTTAAATTGAAATTTGTCTAATTTTGCAACGATAAATTGTCAAAACTGTTATTAAGCAATTATATATCAAAATTAGGAATAGAAAAGAGTCGAATAGGTGGAAAAGTAGATTAGAATTTCCGAAACTCACCACTACCAGGTATTCGCAGGAAATGGAGAACATAAGGGGCGAAATTGCTGCACTCCGAACGCAAACGAGCATGGTAATGGTGAGATCACAGTCCCAACCATTGATCAAGGACTCCGAGCTGCCAGCTCTTTCCAATCCTTCGAGGGTGAAAAAACTCACCAAATTCTTTGGCACAGAACCACCACTCATCAGACTATTCCTCAGGGAACTTGGGTATGAGGTATGTAATTCAAATTATCTCCAATCTAATTCATTAATTTATCTATTTAAAAAATATTCATTAATTTATTCATGCAAAGAAATTGCGGATTAAATGACGGATTAATAATTAAACTAATGAATTAAATTAATGAAACGAAGCAAATTTCCAAAAATAATATCTTTTTTTAATCTTAACCGATGGAATTGATTAATCTGACCTCGTAAGTAAGGCTCTATTTAAATGTTGCATTCACTTTATAGGGTATATAGAAGGTAAAAGTAAGATAATCACCATGATTCTAAATCTCTGACCGGTGGAATTTGAGAAAAAAGTCCATACAAAATTAACTTTGAGCGTGATTCTCAAGGTCAAATTTTGTTGGTTGCATTGCATTTTACTTATTATGCAGAGAAAAGGTTTCTAAGAAATCGTAGCTCGCAATTCACCCGTCTTCTTGGGAAAAAATGTTAAAATTTCATGGGTTCTCGAATTCAGTTTATCGTAATCTATAATAAAAATCACATTTATTCTTAGTAGACGCGATTTACTTTTTTATTTAAATTATCCAGAAATAGCAATACCATCTTATAGATGCAACCTTTGAATTTTTTTAATTACGTCATCATAATTCCTGAAATTCCATTGTCTTCATTTCTTTTGTTCAAATTGAACGTGTTTCAGAAATATGCAAATGTGTTCGAGAAAGAAAAGGTCGGTATGGTGGAGCTACCTTATTTAAGCGAAGAGAGATTACAAAAAATGGGAGTTCCCTTGGGACCAAGGTTAAGGATTCTGCAAGAAGCGAGAATATCGGTGTGCAAAGATCCAATTTATGTCGTGTGAGTTCTATAGAATGGCTTGTTTTCTGAAAGTTTGCCCAGGCAATTCCAAGTACGTACATCCACCGGTAGCCAGTGAAAGGCAATAAAATACATAATCAAATTTTATCCACTGGAATTTGGTGAATTGTGTATAATATATTTGAATTCATATCAATAAATAAATATTTAAAAGACAAAGAAATAATAACGAAATTAATTAAACGTTTATTGTACACGTTGATTATACACCGAATATATTGTATACGAATATAGTAAACAAAGCATGGTGCATATGTCTATCAAACATATCCGTACTTTGACAGATTTTTATTTTACAAGTACTTTTAAATACTCAAGTACAAATATATATAAACATGTTTTATTCTGAATTCTAACATTAATAAATCATAAAAGATATGAATCCTAATTGGGAATATCTCAATGAGAAGCAATACCTGTCGATGAGAACATGTTTCAGAAATGTATCAGTCACATATAGATTAAAGCTAAAGTAAAGTAAGGAAGAATTATTCAATAACAATTGTTCATGATTCTAGAGATTTTGTCATTCATAAACGTATTTCATTTTTTTTCTATAATTTATTATAAATTATTGATCGAAATACATATCTATGTGTAATACTTGTAATACAAATGATAACTGTCTCAGTCATTATTATAATTGAATATCTCATGTATCTTTAAAATATTATACTAAGAGAACAGTTAGAAAGTTAAAACTAATTAGTTAAAAGGAACAATTTAAAGTAGAAGAAATAATATTAACATTATTTGAAGTTAATCAATATGTAAATACTTTTTACGGTAATGTCAGTTCTAAGCATCATTTATCACTTTTTTACGATATCTATTTACGTCAATTCTAAGCATTATACAACAAAAACAGTTATAATTACTAATTAACGATAGAAACAATTTTTGACTGCATTGAGGCGTCAAGTAACCACCCGATAGTAATGAATATAAGCGTAACTTTATATTTATATACTATACAATTATACCTAATCAATCATCTAGGATAGTTTGGATAAAATATATTTTGTTATATAGACTGTGTATGTGCTACATAGATTTGTATTTTTGTGATCGGTCTGAATCGATGGTAGAAATCGATTTAACTGTCTTAATGGAGAATAAGCTCAAATGAACATGTATTGAGAATAAGAAGCAAAAATTAATTTGCCAAAGAGACGAGAAAACGTCGTCGACAAAGTGATGTGTGTTAATGGAGATTGCCATTCGAGAGGAACCAATTGTGAAATTTTTCTCCTAAATGTGTTATTGTTTTGACTTAAAACGATTTAACAATTATTACTTCCGTTCCAAAGGTTATCTCATTCATTCAATCATTTTGCTTTTTGAATAATAAATAGATTAGATAGAATTTAGTTTTTGCTTATATTATATTTTGAATAAATTTTGCAATCTATATTGATAATACTCCAAGAAATCAAAGAATCACTAAATTACAACCGAAAAATTATCGATTTTTGATTTTTGATTTTTTACAATACAGTAGAACGTTCGAACTAATTGGAAAACAAATCCGCTTCAGATAAGCGATTTTTCGAATAATCAGTCAAATTTGTCATCATGTCACAAATCAACTAACTTGCTTTCAAATACGAATATTTATTATGTAAAAGAATACATATCTAATAATCAGTAGATGCTATAAAATTTTCATTATCTCTTTATCTGATATGTAATTTAAGAGCTTTTTCTTGAAGACAAAATTCATTTGTACACAACTTGATCTAATTATTACCATTTGCTATTTTCAAGCTTAAATACAGATGAAAAGTTTTCTTATTATTTAAGATATTTTGAAATTCTAGTAATATTGATTCACTGTTTTTAATGTAACTAATTATACATTGTCTAACATAACATTCTATGACTAAATTATATGTATTTTTTTAAAATATTTAGTAATATTTAATAATTTTTAATTTTGGTAGTATTTTTTTCTTTTAATAGTATTTTTATGGCATAAATGAAAGATAGTTAGCTTAGATAAGACACTAAAATAGGACATTTGAGGGAAAGATACATATTCCAAAATAAACATTGTTTAATATATAGTTTAAATGTGTACATACATAATTAATTAGACTATTCGGATAATCAAAATTCAAATGACTGATAAATTCCGGATAATCGACATTCCGATAACCGACGTTCTACTATTAACTGTGTATAAAAAAATCGTACAATATTTTGTTTATTTTGTTTATTTTATTATATGAAGCTTCGTAATTCTTTTGTAATATGAAGATTCGTTGATTCTTTTCTACGATGTTTGTATATTATGAGTAATATATTTGAACATTTCTCTTCTTAAAAATTTTATAAATTCAAATGTCTGTACAGACATTGCAAATTTTTTTCATAACAAAACTTACTATGAATTTACATTGAGATCTTCTTTTTATAGCAAAACTTGCAAAACTTGCAACACGACATTTTTCATCATTTTTTTCAAGTTTCAACTGAAAAGTATGTCGTTAGCATTAGAATAATCCAAGAAGATTGCATAGTGGAATTTGTACTTGTAAGTGTATATCTTCAATGTGTATTTAGTTTATTTAATGAGCGCTTAATGTATGTTTATATGTTTAAGATATAACTTGTTTCTGAACATGCGTACATAATATACGCATATAAAATATAAATTACCTCATTAAACATATTGGCACTAGACATACACACATTTAATACCCAACAAAACATATACATGCTCTAAAGCCTCACATTAAACAAGCTAATACTAAACAACACATACTAAACATGTATACATACTACATACTGTGCTTTACATACAAAGTATAATAAAACCGCGAAAAAATTACAGATCAACTTTTCAGATATTATTGTAAATACTTCTCTTTATAAAGATATATTTGATGTTGAAAGAAATATGAAAAAAAAAACTTTTAAACTCCGTAGAATCTAAATTTGCAAAATTTTAAAGAAAAAAGAATAACCTCAGTTTTTCAGTCTGTTTTATAACAAAAAAGAGTCTTTGAAAAAGCTATTTCAAGTATGCGAAAATAAAGACAGAATGGTTGTATGATCTTTTAGATCTAAAGCAGGACTTCAAAAAGATTGACAATTTTCCGGTTATAATTTAATAATCCTGTAATTTCTTGAAATAGTGTATGTTAAAGTCGCGAACTCTCAGCAATAATATATATTTCAGCATTTCCAAAATATATAACTATTTACTTTTTATATTTCTACATACTATTTTCTATTTGTAGATCGAAAAAAATTACGTTCTGTAATTATAAATTGGTGACTTTAAATCACTAGCTGTATTAGATCGTCATTAGTTCAGAATACGATTTTTATCGAAATTTGCATTCATGTCTCGATAATTCAAAAAGTTTCCATGGAATGTCATTAACTGATTTATTATGGATTTTTTGAAACGGGCTCTTTATTCTATAAAACAATCACATAAAAGTAAGTAAAGAAAAAAAGAAAAAGTAAGCAGTCCGAATTATTTAATTTTGAAAAATCATCGATACGCTGAATACTTACATGTTCCGGTTTGTTGAATATAAATATATCACGTTTGCCCAAAAAGCCTACTTTGTTTATACATTTTTGTCAATTTGGCAAATGATATCTTTCCGTTAACTGACCAATTTATAGATATTTTCTTTGTATATTAAAAATTTCAAAAAAATTTCTTAGCTTGCTCGAAAAATAATTCAAATTTCAACGATGAATATAATTATAGTATATAGACGCGTAATAACGCGTTATATTATTTCAAATAATATTTGTTTTCTGTTTTTTGCTATGCCGATTATTATCGAAAAATCAAACTTCTCATTTATTATGTCCAAAAGAAAAATGATAGAAATAATTTTCTGATGGAAATTATTTTTCGATAAAGAACTTCCAATAGAAAATATAATTCTAATAAAGATATTATTCGCATAACTTGATAAAAAGTGTTCTATTTGAATAATTAGAATTAAAAGATAGATCTGTTAAAAAAAACTATTACATAACTAAAAATAAAGCAATAGCTAAATTCATGATTGATCATTTTACATCTGCAATTAAAATGCTTGTTTTAAAATTGATTGTTTCAATTTTCAATCCATAATGTAATATCACATTAATGGTCGATATATCAATATTGTAATGAAACATAGCTATAGGTTTTTAATAAAGTTTGATTATTGATTATTAGCTTTAATTTTTAAAATTAATAGTTCGAAAGAAATAAAAGAAAACTATCTTCGAAAGTGCGAAGAACTTTTGTTTCGATAAAAAGTTCATTTTCAAAAAAATCAATCGATTAACTAAATTAAATGTGTCGTCGTGTAGAAAGGCAGAAAAACAAGCAGTTTCGATTACGGTTAAACGATACATGTGCGCGCGCGTGAGCACGCATAATACCAAAGAATCGATATCTGCTCCTTTGTAATGATGATTGCTATCACAATCTCACCGCCAATGATGCTGATTATGTAAAAAAAATGAAACGTTGCTTCGGTTTTCAACCTGATACATTACTTTTTGTTATTCAATTTACATTAGACGTAATTGTTAAGCATAAATTCCATTAATTTAATTAATTTACTAATATACATAGTTGTCAATATTTGTTAACAAGCATCGTTACATCGTTTTTAACAGTTATTTGTATATCTAAGAATATCTCTTTACGTTATTAAATTCATTTTCTAATTAGTGTTATTCAACACTGCCTGAATTTTTTTATTGTATTAATGTCCACGCTGAACTTTGTACAGTTAAGTTTGTAAGAATGTTTTAGTAATGTTACACTGGATATTTGTATTATGATAAGTATATTATCTTGTTAAATTTTATATTTAATAAATAAATGGAGAGAACCACGCGATGGTTTAATAAATCCTCTATCTAACAAATTATTCACGCAGTTTTTTCATTTGATAATTTGAACGAAACATACGTGTCAAATCAAATATTTTCTAAAAACGGAATAACATTTACGAATAAAAGAAAATGAAAAATACATGAAAAAGAAAACAAGAAATTATATATGAAAAATTATTATAAATATTACGAAAGTTATAAATAGCTATTATACTGAAACTATTATTGAATTTATGAATGAATGAAATACAATTTTACTTTTAAAATGTGATATTATTTTAATCCATTTTAAAAATTATTTAATCAAATTTTAAGTCTGTAATACTTGCTCCTCTATTGAAAATTTGATATACATATTAGCTACTATATTTGTAAATTACAATTTGTCTGCAAATTCTATGTATCGTCTATGTGACAATATTTTTATCTAACGTATATAAAAAAATATATATTCTTATCCAACATGTAGAAAAATATTATTGTTGTATTGTTGTATTTTTTGATAAAGCGCTGTAATCATGCAAATTTATGCAATAAGTTATTTAAATTCTCTTAATCTTTTGTGAAAAGAACTGGAAGAATAAATTATAAAAAAATATATGATATAAAATAACAATTTGGTAATTATTTACAAAGCGGATAATCTCATTGATTTTGATAATTTTTGGATATATTATCGATATATAACATTCTGAATCATTTTTCCCCATACATATAATTTTTTTCCTTCATGTGGATTACTTGTCGATTATTTTTACATACGTTGCATGCTCGTGCCACGATGAGACTATGTGCTTTACATTTCAATTTTTTAAGTACTTCTGCACCATA